TTCAGAGATCCAAACCAAAGCTCCAAGGTACAGTCAAGAGCAGCAATGGAAGAGCTGGCAAGATGGCTCAGCAGACTAAGCACTTGCTTAGGCAACCATGGAGACCAGGGTTTGATCCCTGGCACCACATGTTGCACTGGCCCCACCCCCAGGCGCACTGTGCCAGCCACCAAGAGCAGGAGTGGTGGCGCAAGCCTGTAATCCCAATGCTGGGGAGGCTGAAAACAGGAGAATTACTAAGAGTCCTAGCTGCATAGTGAAACCCTGTACCAAAAACATAAAAAATAAAATATTTTTTTACAGGGCTTAAAAAAATAGGCAGGGCAGTGATGTATGCCTGTAATCATATCACTCAGTAGGCTGAGGCACGAGGATCATTGTGAGTTCAACAACAGTCTGAGCTATAAATGAGCTCAAGCTAGCCTGTATTGTACAGTGAAACCTTGTCCCAAAGAGATAAATATAAAGTTTAAAAATTATAATTTCAGTATTTTGATTAATGAATGTTGTTATGAGCAAATGTTATTGACAATGCCCTCTACTGGCAATAGAGGGGAAAAACAGGTGATACTGTAACACTCACCCCACCACCCCTGTAGTTTAAATTTCATTGAGGCTGTCAGGTAAGGTGAGACATGGGTATTACCTTCCATCACCTCCTGCTTTTATTTTTGAGTTAATTGGCACATTTTAGATGTACATAATGGTAACATTCATCATACAGTATTTATTTATACCTGACATGATATATCTTGTTTTTCCCCTCCCTTCAATCCCTTTTTCCCTCCTTATTTATCAAGTTTTGTTTCCATTTTTCCTTCTATTCACTATAATGTAACATTTAGGTTCTCTATAACACTTTAGCTAAATAAAATAAGCGCTTCATGAGTTTCCTAGCTAATTCTGACCAGGCGAAGGTAAAACTCAACTAGAGTAATTCCCCTGGGAACAATTTCAAGGACCTGGTAAAGAAACAGAAGAACTAAAAGACACCAAATGGCCTTGGGACTTAGACCAAAGGACCAGAGAAAAAGCTGACAAGTGAGCACAGAGAACCAAATGCACAAAGCCAAGATAAGCCTTCTTACCTCCAATAGAATGCAGGAGAAACAGAGCGGGTGGAAACACTTGAAAAGCTTTTAGTATATACTTGCACTTACCCACTAACATATATCGCATATAACTCTAAGCTAAGCATGAATTAGACACCCCCTTGCCAAGCAGCTGCCCACCCTGGAGATACACGCTTGTCAAGGACAAACAAGTTATACCCACACCAGCAGAACAAAATGGTGTAGGCAGGGCTGCCCAGAAGCCAACCTAGTTATGGCAACTTCCATGTGGGAGAAGGGTCTCTGACCCCTGTAAGAGGTGCCAGGACCCACTAATCTTCCACCTTTCTGGAGTTACCCTACCCTGGTCCTTATTAGGGTAGCTATCTGTCTTCCCCTTTCCAATAAAGAAACTAAAAGTTTCTAAACTTTTCTAGTACTGAGTTTACTATCTCAGTGAGCTGCTCACATATTAGAGTAGCAGTACTCATGCCCTAGATGCAGGTTTGATTTAATACCAACACCTTATCAAAGCACTGCATTATGGAAAGGTTACTACCATGCCCGTTTTATGGAGGGAAAGTAGAGGTTCAAGAAGCTTTAACAATTTATCCCAAGTCATACACTAAAAAGTAACAGAGTCACATTTTTATTCCTATGGATCCTCACAAAGAAATGATCACAAAATTTTATCAGCCTTAAAAGTGATGCAATAATTTATTTTTAAAGTTTTTAACAGTTTATTTATTGCTGTTATATTTTCGATCCTAGCTCTACAATCATCACTTGGGGAGTTGGTAAAAATGCCTATGCCCAAGTCTACTTTAGGTGACTATATCTGTGACCAAGACTAAAAAACACCTAGCCCAGTGGTGCTCAGCCTTTACTGTCTGCAGAATCACGTGAATGGCACATGGTGCTAGGCAACGTACACAGTTTCTGATTTAATATGTCTGGAAGGCCTGATAGTCTGTATGTTTAACATGTTCTAGGGACACTACACTTTGAGAAGCACTTGGTAAGTATAGTAAACAGTGGTTCTCAACCTTGCCAGTGTTTCTGAAGAAATTTTTAAAATCTTGGGCGAGGCAAGGTAGCTCATACCTGTATTCCCAGCACTTGGGAGTCTGAGGCAGAAGGACTGCTGTAAACTAAGGCCAGCCTAGAGCACACAGTGAGTTCAACGCCAGCCTGAACTATATAACAAAACCCTGTCTAAGAAAAACCCATCACTCACTCACTCACTCACTCAATTTCTTGGTAGCTAAACAAGCCCAAAACCAATTTTATCAGACTCTCTGGCATCAATATGTTTTAAAGTTTTTAAAGGGTCAGGGATATAACAGTGTCACAGTGCCTGCCTGGTAAGCACAAGGTCCTGAGTTCAATTCCCAGTACCAAAACTAAATAAATAAACTTTTTAAAATTAAAAAACATCTTTCTACAACAAGCTTTTAATGCCACTAATATATCCATATATTTTCCCCAGAGAAAGTAGTATAGTGTATAATATTTCCAATGTTTTTGGACTAGAAAGAATTGTTACGACTCATTTTACAGCTTTCTATACGTGAGGAATACTAACCTACAGAATAAGTGGAACTGCTTTGTACAGCCTATGAGACATTCTTCCACTCTCTAACCCAGCCTTAACTGCTTGCCAAAACTCTTCCTTCCTCCCACTGCTATATCCATGTTAAAATACTGACAGCTATTGACTACAATTACAGCAGTCGTCCTTATCTAGGGTTTCACTTTCATAATTTAGCTATGCAAGATAATTATAGTCTGAACATGCAGTTAATATAGTAAGATATTTTGAGACCATATTCACATAACTTTCCCAACAGTATATTGCTATTTTATTACTTGTTAGCATTGATAATCACTTACTGTGCCTAATTTATAAATTAAACTTTGTCATAAGTTTAATTTGTCATAGTTTGTCATAGTCTTGTAACTATATTTAAAATAATATAGAGGATAAAAGTATAGCATAGATAAGATTCAGTACTATCTCTGGTTTCAGGAATCCACTGGGGATCTTGGAATATATACCTACCAGAGAAAAAGGGATCACTATATCCATTTTAACATGACTGTACATTCTATAAGCTGTATGGAGTCGAAGCTTGCAGAGCTGATGTTCTATAGACATTTGTTATTAAAGACAAGTTTATGTCCTTACTTTCTTTAGAAGAGGTAATGTCATGCATGACCTTTAATGCAACCTAAATTGAGCAACGTTATTAACATGCCCATAAGTGAGGCTCTCTTATTAAATAGTAAGTTATAGTCATTATTATTAGTACTTATAGGTAAAACTTATGTTAGAATCTGCAATGTATGGGCTGGGGAGGTGGCTCAGTAGAATAAGCTCTTGCCTGGCAAGCGCAAGGGCCTGAGTTCAATTCCCAGTTCCGCAAAAAAAAAAAAAAAAAAAAAAAAAAAAAAAAAAAAAAAAAGAATCTGCAATATTTTAATCCATTAATAACTTAAAGATAATAAAAGATTTTAATTATTTTTCATTCTGAAAGTCACTTAAGCCAAATGTGAACCAAAGAAATAAAAATGCCTTTTATGTTAACAATGAGATCAAGCTTTTAAAAACCATTGAAGAGAAAAGGAAAAGAGACTTACCACCAGGAAATTCCAAAGTTTCTCAAACATGAACGCTAACAGTCCAGTTTTATTTTTGTTTTATATTTTAAGTTTATGAAAAATTACTTTTCTGTTAGCAAGTTGCACATCTAATTCAGATAAGGCAATTCTAGTACATACCAATACAGCTGCAAAGCTTGAAATTATCCTCTTTCAGAATTATGAAAGGAAGCATTTGCTTTAAGGCTATAAGGGTGTTATATAATCCCTTCTATAGTTTCTTGTATCTATATTTAAAATAAAGAAATACAGCACATGTAACTCTCAAAGCACAAGAGTATGTTGCTTTTCATACTAGATTTCAGTTTGTAGTGCTGTGAAACTGTTATCATTTAAAAATATGTACTTGCTTTAAAAGGACAATGATATAAATACAATATGCAATATAACAACTGGTTTTTGGGTTTATAAGCTTTTATGTATTTGGTACAGGGTCTCACTACACAGCTCAGACTCATAATGGTCCTCCTGTCTCAGCCTCTCCAGCTCTGGACTATAGGCGGGTATCACCATTTCTGGTTTCGGTGGCCAGCTCATGGCACCTGGGGTTCCAGGGCCAGCACAGCATGTACTGGGGAATGAAGCCAGGTCCTTGCACTTTCCAGGTGGGCGCTTAGACCATCGAGCTATCTCCCCAACCCTAACAACCATTGTTGAATTCCTATCATTTTGGTTTTTGAAATTCTATCATTTCTATTTCTTAATTTTTACTGTCTTTAAAATAAAAAGTGATGCAAATTTGTTTCATTGATACTAGTGTCTCTTCACTGAAAAAAAAAGTATGCTGTCTGTTTCTTCTTAGTAAGTAGGATCTTTTTTGTCTTCTATTCTGAATGACTACTTTGAAATAATGATACATAATACATTAACTATTGTCATTCTCTTATGAAATTTCAATTTTCTTATGAAATTGTTTTTTAAGGGGCTGGGGAGATAGTTCAGCAGCATAAGCTCCTGCCTGGCAAGCATAGGTTCTGAGTTTGATCCCCAGTACCTAAAACAAAAACAAAAACAAAAAAAACCTTTTAGTTTTTAATTAAATAAAAACTGATTTAAAGAAAGAAAGACAATAATAATTATTTTAACACATTTAGCTCCAGAAAGAAAAAAGTAAAAACATTCTTGTGACCCACACCAAATACAGAGGATAAGGATTTGTTGTAGGGGAAGGAGAAGTTTATAAAACTTGCTAGAACATTGCCAGCAACCTGAAAAAAAAGTGACTAAAGCTAGAAGAAAGGGAAAAAACAGTATTAAAAACATGACGCTTTGACATTTAGATTTTACCTCTGAATTCCTTCAAGAATATCTTTCACAGCTGCCATTAACTTTTGAAGATACACAAATGCTTCTTCAAATGATGCTATTTTTGAAACAGTCAGAGTCGAATTTGAGTTCAATCTTTGAAACACATCCATGCTAAAACAGAGGGGAAAAAAAATGATACACATATACATGCCCAAATAATAATTCAATTTTTCCACTGTACAAAATGAAATAAAATTATTTTCTCATCATTGTGATCTATTTAAGCTAGAAATAAAATGCTGGTGTGAAAATTCCAGGTTAATATTTATGCAAAGAATCTAGTTCTGGATCTATTCCAAATCTTCAGTGAAGTATTACCATAAAAGCTGTGTGGGACCGGTGAGATAGTTTAGTGGTCTAAAGTACCTGCTTAGACAAGCTTACACAAGCACAGGCACCCTGGTTCAATCCCTGGCACTACATGCCATGACAGCCCTGCCCCCAGAGTGGGTTGAGCTGGCAAAAAAAAAAAAAAGGTCTGATTAGGGCTGGCCAGATAGTTCAGCAGACTAAAGCGCTGCTTAGGCAGAGCACAAAAGCCAGGGTTCAATCCCTGGCATGCCATGCTAGACCCACCCCAGGGTCACAATGAGAAGGCAATTGAGACTGGCATGGTGGCGCGCACCTGTAATCCCAGCACTTGGGAGGCTGAAAACAGGCAGATCACTACAAGTCGAGTCCCACCTACATAGTGAGACTCTATAGAACCTGTACTAAATACATTTAAAAAAAAAAAAAAACAAAACTGTGAATAGTGTTCTTTTAAGAGAGCATTAAAAATAGAAAGGCAATAATATTATCAATCTATATCCAAGCCAGTCACCAGTTTTTTTTTGTTTTTTTTTTTTTTTTTGGTGGAACTGGGGATTGAACTCAGGACCTCTACTGAGCCATCTCCTCGACCCTCCAGTCCCCAATAATATATAATGAAGAAATCTAGATTTCTATCATAAATTAATTATTAATCACAATCAGCCAACAGTCAGTGTCATTCCAAATATCCAACACCATAAAAATGTTAGGTTCACAGTGAATTAGCCACCTGGTAAAATATAAAACTATCGAAAATTACTCTGATGCCATGTAAAAAATAGGGAAGTTTTCTTATTTTAGCCACAATATTAAAAACCAAAAATGCTATTTAGCCAATTTTATCTTCCCAAAATTCATGTTCACTGAGAACTTCAAAATGTGACTTTATTTGAAATAGGGTCTTTAAAAATGTAATTAGTTCCTTTAAAATGAGGGTTGGATTAGAGTGGTCCCTACAAACTGTAAAGAGAGAGATCAGAGTGATACAAGAATTGCTAACAACCACTAGCAGAAAGGAGAATGCCATGGAATTGGTTCTTCTTCAGAATTTCCAGAGAGAAATAACCATGAAGACACATGGATTCCCAATTTTTGGCCTCAGAGCTGTAAGTAAATAAGTACATATTGTTTAAAATCATCCTAGGAAAGTAACACAAATGCCTAGAAACAAAGCTAGGTATACATAGAATATATAGGGCCCCAACATGTGATAGTTGGACTTTTTCATTTCAGACTTGTTTTCATTTCAGATTTGTTTAGTTCTATTATTAAACAAAAATAAAACAAATTGACAGATATCAGTCTCATAAAATCTGAAAAATACTTTCCTCACCATCACCAAAATCCTCTAAAACTGCACTCTTATAAATGTTATAAGTTCATGCCCCTAACTTCTGCTGTGCTGATAGAGAATAAACTAGTAAAAGCCATCACAGGTATTAACACTGGGCTCTGAGTGCAAAATAATAATGAGCAACAAAATAGGGGCTGGGGAGATGGCTCAGTGGAATAAGCGCTTCCCTGGCAAGTGCAAGGGCCTGAGTTTAATCTCTGATTCCACAAAAAAAAAAAAAAAAAAAAAAAAAAGCATACCTCTACAGAACAGAACAGAAAATCTGTAGAACTAATTGGTTAATAAATATGTTTTTACCTTACTAAAGGAAAACATACGTCAGTGCATAAAATAGTATGTACTAAACTATAGAATATTAAAATATGCAGGATAAAGTAAAATTTGTAAAAAGTTTCTTTCTGAAAAAAGGATTTACGTCAGCAGGGCATGGTAGCACATTCCAATAATCTCAGCACTCAGGAGGCTGAGGTAGAATTATAAATTTGAAAATAGCCTGAAGGGCTGGCAAGTTAGCTCAGCAGTCTAAAGTGCCTGCTTATGCAAGTTTAGGCAAGCACAGGGACCTGGTTCGATCCCTGCACCACAGGCAGTGCCAACCCTGCCCCCAGGGTGGGCTAAACTGGCTAAATTCCAAGCATAGTGGCACATGCCTGTAATCCCAGTGCTGGGGAGGACATAAGCAGAAGGATTGCTATAAGTCCGAGCTGCATAGCAAGACCTTACAACAACCAAATATGTTGAAAGAAAGAAAGAAAGCAAGCAAGCAAGCAAGCAAGCAAGCAAACAAACAGCATGGGCTACACAAATGCAAAACTTTTGCTGAAACAATTTTTACATATCAAAAAAAAGCAAAACACAGATTAAAACAGCACTAAAGACTTAATATATGGGGGCTGGGGAGATGGCTCAGTAGACTAAGCGCTTCCCTGGCAAGCGCAAGGGCCTGAGTTCAATCCCCGGTTCTGCCAAAAAAAAAAAAAAAAGACTTAATATATCACATTTATTATTGCGTCACTGAAATAAAGAGGTTTTGAAAATAAAGATTTCAAGTCAGTTACAGCTGTAATCTATTGTCAGACTTACTAAACCACAGATTAGATGAATTATTAAATTGGTTACTGAGTAGCCATTTTTTAGAGAATTATTAGTCAATAAACTGTCAAAATAATTTTCTGGGAGCCAAAGCTTCTAGTTTAGTAGGAGAGTCTGTTCTTGGTGTAAGCCACTAGGTTTGATTCTCAGTACAAAAAACAAAAAAAGAAAAAGAAACCTTAAAGATTGCTTTAGCCTTCACAATATTTATAAAATTCTAAGTCATACATATACACAAAAAGTAATGGGAAAAAAAGATTTTAATTATAGCTCAAAGTGAAACTCAAAAATACATGTTTTTACATAGTCTCAGAAGCTTACATAAAAAATAGCAGGAAAGGTATTTTATTTTTTTTAACTTAAATCAATAATAGTATTTAGAACTTACAAATTTCTTATAAATAGAAAACACAAAAAACCTGACCTAAAGTGCTGTAAGTTCACAAATGATTATTAAATCAGGGATAAAAAGATGGCAATTACAGTCACAAATAAGCACACTAATTGTATGACTAAGCATGCATAGACCCTTTGGTATCAACCAGGCTTGAGAAAATACTTGAGTCTCAAGGACAATATAATCATTTTTCACTTGCTGAAATGCTATTATTAGTCTAGTAGCCAGAAATACAAGATTCTCTGATGTCCAATAAAAATGGATGGACATTACATAAAATACTTAAATGCTTTATAAATTAAAAATTTAAAAAGAATAATTTAAAAAAAAAGAAAAATTAAAGAGTCTTATGTATGGTTTTAATGTATTTTATTCTGAAAGTACTATTCCCTGTCCAGTATATTTGGTAATTTCCTACTAGCTAAAATACACTTATTAGTTAAAATCTGAAAAATTATTAAAATTGGAAAAAACAAATGAAACAATTGCTTTGTACATAAATACAAATTTTTAAATATTACCTTCCTTAGATGATTTGCCAGCTACAGTCATTTCTTTAATATGATAGGCTTTTAAGCTACTTGTTTGTTGGGAAAAAAATTTAATCATAACCCAGGACTAAAACGAAAAACAAATCTACAATGTTGCAATGGCCAACTGAGAACAGGTATCTAAGTAGAGTGCTAATATTAGGTATTTGATGCTTTTGTGAACATCTAGAACAAACAGATAACCTCAATCCAAAACAACAATTGTACTGGACTCATGAAACAAAAAATTGTACTATATGCTACTGCCTTTGTAAATTAATGATATGTAAAGAAATTATGGGCTTTGGGGAAAGTAAAGGGGAGAGGTTTTAATCTACTTTAAAATCTGGGGTTATAGGGGCCAGGGAGATGACTCAGTGGAATAAGCACTTCCCGGGCAAGTGCAAGGGCCTGAGTTCAATCCCCAGTTCTAAAAAAAAAAAAAAAAATCTGGGGTTCTCTGGGGTTCTAAATTACTTTTCTCAGCTAATCTATCAGCAGCCTGTTTAAAACATGTACTCACAAAAAAAAAAAAAAAAAAAAAAAAAAACCATGTACTCACAAGTGGGCCCTATCATTATTCTATCAAGACCATCGTATTTCATGTCCATGTCACTAAAGTAACAGAAATAAATTTTTCTTTGTGACTTTTCAGAGGTTTTGATATATACATAGGTAATGCCTCTCAACAAGCTTTCACACCTGAATCAAAAACTTGGCAAGGTTTTTGTTTAAATGCACTGCTCTCTTAACCTCATTCCTACTGAATTGGAATTTCTAATGACAGGGCTTATGCATATATTTTTTAAATTTTCCATGTAATTCTGATGTGTCCACCTATTTAAACATTACTGTTTCCAAAGTAGTAATCTAACAAAAGGTCCCTAACACAGATTGTGCATTCAACTCAAAACTCAAACATTAATTGTTTAATGAACAATAACAGAAACTCTAAAGAAAGCAAGCTTGGTCTGGGGACTTCACTCAGCACAAGGCCTGTCTGGCAAGTGTGAGGTCCTAAGCTCCAGTTCCAGTACCCAGAAGAAAAAGAAAGCAAGCTTGTAACTCTAGATTTAAAGAGTAGCTGGAAATTTAGTACCTGTTCTGATATATTGTAACCCAAAGATTCTCTAGGACAGACCAGATTTCTTGATGCCTACTGGGTTGGGTAAGATGAGAACCCGAGGAAACAGTGATTTCTTGGTTATGAGGTTTCATCAAAGATTTGTCTTCCTGTGTTTTATTCACTGTGTTTTCCGATGCATTTGGCTTAAGCTTTGTCTTTACCTATGGAAATAAGAATCACAGAAAAATGCAGCTATTCTTTCACTAGTAAGTGGAAAAAAAAAAAAAAAAAAACGAATGCGAACTATGCATTAAAAATATGAACTTTCTAAGGACCAGCCAAATAGTTCAGCGGACTAAAGTGCCTGTAAACAGGTGCAGGAGCTGGAGGTCTGATCCCAGATCCCAGATCCACACCCTCTACCACCACCACCACCACCACCACCACCACCACCACCACCCCCAGCCTGCGTCCCCAGGGCACACTGAGACAGCAATTGAGGTGGCGCGCACCTGTAAGCCCAGCTCTTGGGAGGCTGTAAACAGGTGGATCACTACAAGTCCAATCTAATAGTAAGACCCTGAACTCCCTGTAGACCCTTTCCCCAAAATACTTAATAAATAAATACAAATATGGGCTTTCTGGAAAATAGCTATTCTTTTATTATGTACTGAGTATTCCCAGAAAAACATAAAAACTATAGAAGATATTTTCTTTTCCCATTTAAAGAAAATTTACTTCCAATCCATTTATTGCATGACTTTCTTAGCTAATATTACATGGTCTATTGAAGAATACTATGTAAAAATTTATACACATACAGTATGAACTACAAAGAGAACATAAAGCTAAAGAGAGTTATGCTCTAAGCACCTTAAAATCAAAAGAAGTGAAAAAGGCTGAAAAGGGATATAAAGATGATACAACCTAAATTTTATGGGTTACAGTCCCTAACCACCACTGAAGAGTTTTAATTCAGGTAGTGATATACTCTGAATTGTACGGTGAGCACAGTGGAACAGAGAAGAGTTTAAAAAAAAAAAAAAAAAAAAAACTGGTTAGGAAAGTACTGCATAATACAGGAAGAAAGTATTGAAAATTTGAATTATGAATCAAAAGAAAGCAGAATAGGGGTGCATACAAGAAATATTTTTAAAGATTTGGCCAAAAATTATAGATTCAGGGAATTAAGGAGATCCAAGGGTTTTTTTTAACCTACATGCCAGGCATGGTGGTACATGCCTATAATCCAAGCACTTAGGAGACTGAGGCAGGAAGACTGACCCAAATTCCAAGGCCAGGCTGGGCTACATACATAGTGAATTCAAGGCTACCCTGAACTACACAGTAAGACCCTGTCTCAAAAAAAAAAAAAAAAAAGTTATTTAAGTATAGGATCTAGCATGGAACTGTATGTGCAAATCTGATACTTGAGTCTTATGAAAACAACTCTTAGCAGATGGGGTTGTGAGGGAAGAATACAGCATAACAAAAGCAAAAAATAATAAATAGAAAAAATGAACAGGGAAAAGTGAACTAAATAGAAGACTAAAACAGGAAAGAATCAGAAGTGTGTAACAGTAACAAAGGCTAAGGAAGACAGGTTTGAAGAAATAAAATGGTACAGTAAGGAGCATAGCTCACAGAAAGTATTTAAGGTAGACGAGGCCAGGTGTGGTGGCACATGACTATGACCCAAGCATTCAGATGTTTTGGGGGTTTTTTATTTATTTTTTGTATTTTGTATAAGGTCTCATTATGCAACTCGGACTCTAGTGATCCTCCTATTTTCAGCCTCCTCAGCACTGGGATTACAGGCGTGTGCTACCACACCCAGACTTGGTGATAGGCTCAGTACACCCTGTAATCCCAGTGCTGGTAAGGCTGAAAACAGGAGGATCAATAGAGTCCAAGTTGCATAATGAGACCCTATACAAAATACAAATTAATTAATTAATAAAAATAAACATCTGAATGCTGGGATCATAGTCATGTGCCACCACACCTGGCCTCGGTGGCACGTGATGCCAGGATCAAACCCCAGTCCCTGTGCTTGGCTAAGCAGGCGCTTAGTCTGCTGAGCTCTCTCGCCAGCCCTCCAGCACTAAGATTTCTGGAGGCAGGACGACTGCTCCAAATTTGAGGCCAGCCTGGGCTATATTGGGAATTAAATGCCAGCCTAGAATACACAGCAAGACCCTGACTCAAACAAAAACACATACACAAAAAAATTAGAAGAGATCAGAAAAAAGACATATTATTGACTCGAGGGATTACTTTTTAAAGTATCACTCAGTAAAATATTAACTGGTGAAAAATACTGTCAGAATGGAAAAAAGTTGAACTGTGAGTTCAAAAATTTAGATTTGGTCTTGGCTCCACTGTTAACATACTTTATCAACTTTAGTAAAGTCACTTCACTTCACTAGGGTTAAATTTACATGCTGCTGGGCATGGTAGTGCATACGGCTGAGGCAGGAGGCCAGCCTGGGCTACATAGTGAGTCCACAACTAGCTTGGACGACATAGTAAGACCCTGTCTCAAAAAAATAATAAAGAAACATGGTGATAAAAGGATAATTTTAAAGGTTCACTTCATAGGTTAGCTTTTTCATAAGTTAATTTTATACTTACTAAATTTTAAAAATAAAATTTCTAAAGCTATCAGTAGTAAGAGCTAATGAGAATTTGTTATACACAGCTTTGTCAGGTATTTATTAGTTCACATACTATGATTATCCATATTTTATAATGGAGGAAACTGAACATAGAAATATTGAATAATAAACACCCTAATGCTGCACGTTCAACAAGTAGAAAAGGAAGAGCAAACCAAACTCAGAGATGCCCATCACCTGAGGAATGGTTGAGAAAGAT